TTGGTGCTTAGAATTTTCTGTGATCCTATAACGTACCTAATCTTGTAATTTTTCATAGTTTTCTTTATTCTCATTCATATATCGATTAAATGTACAGGGTGGGCAAATCTATAGTTTATTTTTTCCCAAGATAAATTTTGGCATTGTCAACTTTGAAACATAAACAATGCCGCTAATGCCGCTTATTGGTCGCTTTTGTAAAATTGATGTCAACCTGTAGAAACACCTCATTTTGCGACCAATCAGGGTCAAGCGTTATTGTTTATGTTTCAAAGTTTTCAATGTCAAAATCTATCTTGGGAAAAAATTAAGTGTAGATACTTTCAATAGGAAACGTCAATTCTTGAGTGTGATACGTGATACCAAATAGGTAATTAACCCCCACTCTGAGGCTCAAATTTCATGAGATCCTCATCGATTTTGAGCAATACCTATACTAACTGTGAAAGCTTCATAACTTTTCTGTTTATGAAAGTACCTAACTGATTTCTGTATAAACTTTCTAAAGGTACTTTTTCGAGCAGTGGCGTAGCCAAACCAAACGTGGCCGTCGGCGACAACCGAATTGCGAGGCCCTTTTTATGTAGGGTGGCAGTGGCGGTTGGGGGGGGAGGGTAATTACCCCCCCAGAGAGGCCCAAGAAAATTTTAATTAGGTACCTATTGAAAAAACACACAAATTATTTTTTTGGTGGCTTAAAATACGTTTTGAGCGTGGCACACGAAAAAAATTTCTGCTTCCGGCCACAACTATGGTGGGCATCGCCCGCGTGTGAAGCCCTTCAGAATGGTGCTATAGATCCGCCACTGCAGGATGGCCATATTTCTTGTGAAAAAGCTGGATATAACGTCAGGGACGGGTAGTCGTCGGCAAGCTCGCCGAAGCCGAAAATTTTTTGAGTGTTACGCTCATTTTTCGGGCCTATCAACGGTATTTGATAACAATACCTATTTAGTCAAAAATATCAATATTTTTCCGCTAACAAATCCTTTTAACAAAAAATAAATTTCTCATTTGACCGACAATTTTTGGTAGAAATCAGGCAATTTTTTAGGAAACTTGAATAATTTCCGAATCTCTGTATGTTAGCAGGTTTGCTAAACAAAATCAAATACTGGACGAACTTTCAAATTGCTGTAGAATGTACAATACAGCGAAATACCTACTGTACGAATTCTATGATATTAAAAGAAGTTTATTCGTATAGGATTAAGTTTATTCTACGTTTCATTTTGGGAAATTGAAAAGTGCCAATTTTCAGGTTTGGTAACCTATTTTTTGCGAGGCCCCTAAGGGCGCGAGGCCGTCGGCGGTCGCCGACGCCTAGCTACGCCACTGTTTTCGAGAAGAATTAATAGACTTCCTCAGTTTTTTGTTTTTTTGCACTGATATCCAAGATATTTTCCAGTACGATTCCTTAATAGGACACCCTATATATTAATGATTCATTGGATAGTTCTGCTTTTCCTGATTTCGAAGATATAGATAATATTCGATAGAAACTAAAAATCTTTTTCGGCATAAGAAAGAATGAGTCAGAAAAGAATATATTATCGTTAAGGGGAATGAGAAAGGCCTTTTACTAACACCATGTTTCTTATCAAAAAACAGATATAGGTAATTTTTTTTTTGTCGAAAACTGTTGGAGACTAATAAAGATGAACTTATTAAACCTCATATCTTAAGACTTTGAGCAATATCTCAAAATCTGAGCCCAATAAAAAAAAAATTAAGTACCTACTTAAAAAAGTACCTCTAAAAAGTTTAAGCGAAGATCAATTATTTTTATCAAAAAAAAAAGTTATGAAGCTTTCACAGAGTAAATATTGCTCAAGAATCGCTCAAAATCGAGAAACGCGGCAAAACGGTTCAAGATATAAAATTACGGTTTGCACCAATGAAGATTTCATGAAATTTGAGCTTCAGGGTGGAAAATTTTTGTATCTCTCCATCTCCAAATAGGTCTAACCTTTACAACCCTAAGAGCGAATTCTCAATAGCGATTCACCTCCGGGTTGGTTTTAACTTCAGGGTAAACGTGTCCAATTGCAATGTTTACCCTGGAGTTATACTTAATCCGGGGGTGACTTGCTATTGAGAAACCGGTCCTAAAAATGAATGCCAATCAACCAAACTGAATAGATTTTCGTAAAATGGATCGAATTAAAATATGTCTTATTATCAGTAGTAATAGCCCAAGGACATTGATAATTGTTCGAAAAAATTTTATAATAGATTTCGAAAGCTTAATTGTTGCTCAAGAACAGACCGACGCATCAGCCGAGGTCTGTTTTTTATGGACTATGAGCAACAAGCTTGAGAAAATTGTTATAAAATTTTTAAGCATTTATCAATGTTCGACACAGTTTTACTCGGGGATGGGGCAATAGCCCACAAAATACAAAATCAGGAAAAAGAGACACTGATGGAAGTGAATTGAAAACGTGATTATGTACCTGAATAATCTGCGTCAGACGTTGCGCGTTACGCAATCAAAACAAGGCAAAAACAAGCCCGAAAAAAAATGAAATTCCGTGAAATGTTAACTTCTATTTCTCTTCTTTTACTTAAGTTTTTATACAGGGTGGTCACCATATTAGTGGTAATACTAGAGAATTAAAATGGTTTGACACATAATAGTATATTATGATATAAGTGTATAAGAGGGCTTTTAAACGCGCGACATATTTCAAAACACGACGCGCAGCGGAGTGTTTCATAAGTCGCAAGGGCTTTAAATGCTCTTATACACGCATATCATACGCTATTTTTTTATTACGAATGCATCATAATCTCAAAAATGTTTCAAATGTGTTCATTCATTTTGATAAATAGTAATTCAAACGGCAGGTAAATGTGATAAAGGTAGATCCAACGTTGCTATAGCAAACCTTTGGAACGTCACTAAAAGTGTAATTTTTAACGGATGCTGTCAATATCTAAAATGCCATTTTATGACTCTGGTGTTAAAAGTGACGTTGATTATGATGCATGCGTAATAAAAATTAGTATATTATGCAATGATCATGTAATGATAGCCATCACGAGCATGTTGTAGGATACGAAACGAGCCGCAGGCGAGTTTCGTAAGTATATAACATGCGACTGTATTAATGGACATTACATGAGAGTTGCACACTATTTTTTCTACTTGCATTAATAAACGAAAAATATGTTTATTTTATAATAGTAAACTTCTCAACTGGTGACAATTGTTGACACCTTGACAATTTCAAAAATTAAGATCTAGACGTCATTTGGGCATAAATTCCATACCCGATTTATTAATTTTTTGTTGTTTCTTCTGGTAAATACTGATAGAAACAGAAACAATCCAAAATTCCAAAACAAGTCTATTATTTTTATATAAACATTGTTCAAAATACTCAATTCCAGTGGCTGAAAAATCTGTATCATAATGAAAATCTGTAGCATAATGAAGTTCATTATGAAACAGATTTTAATCGTTTAATAGGTATTATGAAATGTCAGTAGAAAAAGTTTTTTTATTTACTTGATCTATAGCTTTTAATGTTTTGTTATTGTGAAATGAAGCTGACAATACATCAGTCTATGATATCAGGATAATTCGATAATACAGGGTGGACCACATTTTCATTAAAAAAAAATTAAAGGTGGATTGATTTATTGTAGAGATTATTGCACTGCTTTAATGTTTGACAATTACAAAAGGAGCAACACTCTAACTCAGCAACTCTACAGTCGCATCAACTATTTTGCCGCGAACATTTCGAACAATTACAGCTTGGTATACATACGGTATACAAGCTCTTCAATTGGAGGAAAAAAGTTCGTTACAGACTTTGGTAACAGGCAACCGTTCTCGATCCAAAAACAAGGGGACCGAGAAGACTTTGTGTCCTGTCCAAACAATGATTTTCATTGTAAACAATATACAGTGAGTACGTAAAGGTTGGAATAAAATCCATAAAATATAGAGGGTTGAATTTTTTCAAAAAACCTCAAGCACTTCTATTTTTGATTTTAGTGGCCGTTTTTTTGATGATCTAATCATGTATACAGGGTGACCCAAAAACAAGCTATGACAGCTTAATTTATTTTATTTTTTTAATGAGAACACCTTACCCTATTCTATGTATCATGTCCTATAGCTATCTTCAACTGTTCCGCAAATACTGACAGTTGAAAATCGACTTTTTTACAACTTTGACAGGCTGTCAAACCTTAACGGTAAATTTTAGAGCAGAATCGATTTTACATTCAAATATTTACTTTTACATGAGCTTTCTCATTCTTTCATTTGACACCAACTTTGAATTTAACCGGAGATTAAGTTTAACCGGAATCTTTGATCATGGATTGAATTCAAAGTTGGTGTCAAACGATGGTTTATGGAGACTAAGACAAGAATGTATCATCGGTTTTTCTCTAAAATTAATCGTTTAGGTTTTACATCCTGTCAAAGTTGGAAAATACTCAATTTTCAACTATCAATATTTCCAAAGAGTTGCAAATAGGTATAGGACATGATACATTAAATAGGTTCATTTTTTTGGCGTAAAATTTGAAAATAAAATAAAAAATTGTGTTGTTTTTGTTTGGAAAAATAAAGTAAGGTTCTAACTTGTTTTTGGGTCACCTTGTATATATGATAATATTATCAAAAAAAAACGGCCACTAAAATAAAAAATCGACGTGTCCGAGGTTTTTTTAAAAGAATCAACCCTGTATATTTTATTCCAGCCTTTATAATATTATGAAGCTCTTGAGCCCTATTTTTTACCCCCCAATTACTATGAGTATGCCAAACCTTCTTTAAATAATATGAGGTTCGTGGATATAGGCCTAAACTGCCGCCAGATTTGTAATGAAAAGTATATAATATTTTAATTTAATGTAGCACGTGTAATATCCGTAATATGATGATCAAAGTACTAAAAAAGTAACTGGCCAAAATCTTATTGAGTGGTAACAAACGAAAACATGTTTAGAATGGAATAAAAAAGTTGTTACATTACCTAGCGTCTGTATTACTTGAGGCCGTCGTATGGATGATAATTGGGATAATCTTATTCTAAAGTAAAACCGAAAACAACATAAAGTACCTTTCTCTCGATCTGATCTGAGTGCGCAAAGTAGCTCTCTACTTTCCGCACGCTCGTGGATTAATCAATTCTCTAGGAAACACTGACAACACTGTGTCCATTGTAAGATGCCTAGTTGCCAGTATATTGTTACGAAATTGCGTCGAGAGCATGGCTTGATTCTATGGATGTAGTTGTTAATATCTGGAATGCGTCTGTTCTAGGAATTCTATCACATCTTCTAGATAGATCCGGTGAATGATTAAGACTCTAAATAGCGCGTAGTAAAGTAGGTATAAAGATTGAGTTTAGTTTAAATACGAAATTTGTTTTGTAGGTTTCGATAATAGTGATAAGTCCATTTTGTTCAATAAAAATTGTTATTGTTTGTGAAGTGAGTTTTAGTGGACCCGGAATCCGTGACAATACCATGGAAGGTACCTACCTACATATTCTTTGTTTTTTAATATATTTCTCAATTTTCAAGATAAATAGCTAAAATTCGTACAGCGTAAATTTTTTTCAAAAATGGCCACAATCTTTACGATAAATCAAGGGTTTGATCTTTTTGGGGTTGGTTCGGGTTAGTTCATACACCTCGGAAATGAAACGTTTCCGGACTCCTATTGATAGAAAATTTGTTTCTTATTTTGATAAGTTATATCCGCTCTTAAAGCTTGTATGTACCTACATATAGTTATACCTAGGTTACTTCAGTTTTAATATTACTTTCCAGAATTACTTTCACTAAGGGCCGGTTTATTCATTCACCTTCTGATAAACTCTCAGGTATACAATCTGACAGATGAAAACGCAATTTATAGTCCGATTGGTCGACCAATAGAATTATAGAACGGTAAATTTATTTAGAAGATAGTTATCAGCAAGTTTATTTGAAGATGAATGAACCCGACCTAAATCGTTTTTTTTTAACGTCAATATTATAAATCATACGTATGACAATAATAGGCTTCCAGTTCCGGTGAAACGGTAAAGCGATACTGGCTCCAATGAAATTTGTTGGGCCTAAGGGATGACTTGATCAGTCGTAAGTCGGGGAGTCCAGATGGGAGAGACCCTGTATATATCAGTACAGATGGAGTTGGCTTGACTCGTCCGGTATTCTTGGAGCAGCTATCGTAGGGATGTTGAAGAATGGTGCAAGAGTTGCAACCTTTGTGCTTCCAAGCAAGGATCCAAGTTGCGATCTCATCTCGAAAAAAAATAAATAAATAAATAATAATAATAACGGAATAGGTATCTATTATCTGGCTTCCGACACTTCAGACAACAATAATAAGTTCTAGTTCACCCTGTATAAACACTGATTATTTATACAAAATTTATCAACAATCTCGAAATATATACATAATTACGTCTTTTGAGAGACAAATTAGCAAATTAAAGTAATTATTATTTTAAAACTTAAAAAACATAAAAAGCAGTTTACTGTTTAGTAAAACGAGGCCAAAACCATCTGAAACGCGAGGCCATGCGCGCAACCAGAAATTCGTAATTCCTTCTTATCGATTTTGAAATTGCCTGAGAGGAGTGAAAACGATTTTTTGATTTTCGCGTATAGAGTAGAGGAGTTTGAGTGAAACTGTAAAACACATATCGCACGGCCATGCTCCTCAAAACTAGCTTATCGTGCTTGGTGGTTTTAGTTCAATTTGGCCTTTTCGGGGCCGTGCCTTTGGAATACGCTCCAGACGATGGGGATGTTTTCGATGAGGTTCAGCAGCTGCTTTCGTTAAATAGGGCTGTACGACAGGAACAGGTATGAATCTGTTTTAATTTTGTTACAAATTTTGTTATAATATACACAAAATAAAAATGTTGCAAGGCAAGAGAAAATTGTTAAATAAGTAAATATCAATATTTCATAATGTGGTATTTTGAATGTTGTGATAATGATGCGTCTTATCTAAATTAAAAATTGAATTTTATCGCTCGTAAAATTTCATAATGAAATTTGAGGCTCTGTTCAAAATATAAAATGACATTCATTGCCGAAGCATTAAAATTTTAAGTTCCTCAGCAGAAAATCGTTAAAAAAAAATTAATGCACCCCGTCAATGATTAGTTTGGCTTTATGTGAATTTTATTCAATTAACTATCCTTGCCATCAAATTAATTGAACTAATTTCAATTACCTACCCTTGCCTGGTAAATGGAAAACCGCCCGAGAAATTATTTAATATTGACCGAAACAAGAAAATTGATTTTGTCACTGATTCCGGGTTCATTAAAAATCACTTCACAAAAAGTAACAACTTTTATTTAAAACAATTTGACTTGATATATAATTCACTTATCACTTATCCAAACGTAGGTACACAACAAATCTTGGATTTGAACAAACCCATTACTACGCGCTATTTATAGTCGAAATCGCACTCCGGATGTAGGTATCTAGAAAAACGTCGAATCGAATATAATAGAATTCCGAGAAGAGGCGCACTTCCTGACGTAAACAAGCACCTAATTTTTCAGAATCCTGGCCAGGTTGTCGATACAATTTCGTTACACTGCCTCCCTCCCAAATCAGATCGTCCCGATCTGTGACTTCTGACTGTCAAGATGCAATACCTTCTCTTTTAAGTCTGTATAGCTTCACTCAAATCCATAATGATTCTATCTATTCATTTGCTGAACATCTTTATGCCTGTCTAAGTGGACTGCAACCTGAAAGTCCATTCTTTGACAAAATAAGGACATTAATGTCTATATTTGTTGGTTGATGTAGGATTGGGTTTGGGGCTTTTCAATGGTGCCTATGATTTTGGTGGAATTCTTCAAAATCATTTTCATCAAAATTCTCTTCGTTATCAGGATCCACAATTTTTAAATTCAATAAAACAATTTTCCACGTAAAATTTGTCTGCTATTTCATTTCTGCCATCATCCGCCAATCCTCCAATACAATGTAAGACCGACATCTATCGCTAAAGAGTGAAACCTGACATAGGTATTCAAATATAAAATAACCCATAAAACTAAACCTTATAGGTCACTTACTTACTTTGGTAATATCTCGAATAAAATTACAAATATTTTAAAACCTCTTGTCAATGTTTCTTTTAAATCTTTGGATTCGTTGAGTAACTTGATTATTAATAATAAAGATCCTATAGACAAGAAGGAAAGATGTGGAATGTACCGGTTGAGTTGTGAAACATGTTCTGCGAGGTATATTGGTAGAACTTATAGACGTTTTAAAGTTAGAACAAAAGAACATATAAGAGGTTTTAACTTTAACACACCTAATTCTGATTATAGTACACAATTTTCTAAACACCTACTAGATTGTGACCATAGTTATGACCCTGACAATTATTTTAAAGTACCTATTACATTTCGCGAATGAGTACGGTACTACACACGCCTCTGATTTTAGTACCTAAACATTTTCAATAATATTTCAACTGCCTATAAATTGGAAGAATTCTACAATTTTTGTCTATTTACCTGCTTCTACGCCACCTTAAATTAATTAATGGTACTCTTATATACGTCAGCAAGAGAGATATAGGTATACATAAAAAAATACATACATACAGTCTGTTAAAAATTGAAAATTGCACAACATAGAACCACTGACGATGTGGGACTTTTATGGAGTATTTTAATTAATTTAGATGTATTGTGTTTTCTTTGTGTTTATCCTGAATACTTTGTATGTAAGTAGGTATATTTGTATGAAATAATTTCAAAGTGTTTTGTAAAGTGTTGCTTTTTTTGAATTGTTTTTCTTAAATTATTTTCATGTTAATGGACAACATTGTTAATTTTAAGTTGCTATGTTTTTTATTGTAGCCTTAGGCGGCCTGATGCTGGGGTGTAACTGATTGACCCCGAAACTAGTAGCCAAATACATGAGGATTGTGAGAATAGACCAATTCGTTTTTCATTTGTTTTTAGTTAAATTAAAATTCCAATCTGGTAAATTGTAGTAGATATTGCCTATAAAGAGCTGGATCAATGGTTTCGGAAGACTGAGCGTAATGGTTACCTGGGGTTATTTTAAGGCCTAGGGGGTTGACACTTTATATTTGAGACGTCATCCATAGGAAACTCCCATGCGGTACCCAAGTAGCACTCCCATGTTGGGCCAATATTGGGAAAATAACTAGGATTTGTTGGCCCAAGTCAAAATTCTTTATGTTGGCCCAATAAAAGATGTGGACATTCTGCAATATTTGTCCAAGAACGTATGTCAATATATACCCAAAAACAAATACCAACATTGGTACAATAACGTAACCAAATATTGGTCCAAAAAAAAAAATCAATATCATATCAAGAATTTTATGCAATATACAGCCAATTAAAATTACCAATATTGGCCCAAAGTCGTATATAAATCTTGGCTTTATATTATATTTAATTAGGGTAACGGACCAATTATAAGGACCGACTGAGAAGTGTTTTCTCTCTGCCGAACCATGCGTGGACCCGTTTCGCTGTATCACAACTCATCAGCACGGTTAAGTCCCGCCAGGGTCCCGCAGAGAGAAAACCACCAATTTTTGGTTTCATTCCGGGACTAGGTTTAAGACAGATAAAATGAAGACAGAGTCGCCATCTATTTTCCTCACTTGATTGCTTGACAGAACTCCGAAAAAACATTGAATACCCTATATTGGACCAACATTTTGAATTCAGAAAATCTAACCTTGGTAAAAATTAGTATGTAAATATTGGCCCTTCATTGGGCGTTTCAAAAAGTATCAGTATTGTGAAAAAATTAGAAATAAATATTTGCCGTATAAAGTTTTTGAAGTGAATTTGAATATCAATAAAAAATTGAATGCCAATATTGAATTAATATTATATTACAATATTGTTTGGAAAATATATAATGTAATATTTGGCCAATATTTCATAAATCAATATTGTAGTGAGAAGTCTTGGGCCAATATTCAAATTACTGAAAAGTTAATTAATCTATGAAAACAATATTGGTACAAGATTATTTTTAAATATTGTTTCCACATAGTTGAAACCAACGTTGCGCCAATATTGGTACTGTGTTGATTTAGCAACAAAAAAGAATAAATATTGGCCCAACTGAAAAACGATGTTTAACCAATATTATGTGCTACTTGGGTATTTCCAAATTGTGCACAATTTCCCCAACTTAGGGAAAACGTTAACTTGGCAACCTCGCTCTCCGAATGAAATCTAAATGAGTTTCAGTTATTCACTGTTAAGTAACAAGTAGAGTAAGACATCTTTTCTGGTACAGCAAGATAAATCATTACATTAGAAATAATGTAGAATCATATCCATTACAGGACAGTTAAGATTAAAAGATAAATATAGATAAACCATTCGCCACTGTTTTAGTTCGGTTATTTTCGCATGTGCAATTTTTTTAAAAATTTAGTCTGTTTAAAGTGCACACTACAGAAAAATACTAAATGGTACACTGAAAATGTAACAAATTGAACAATGTAGAAACTCACGAAATAAAGGTAAAAAGTAAGGTAGAAAGTAACACTACATAGATTAAATTAGCAAATTTGGCTTCTTAATTTTGATCTTGAAAATGTCTATATCACTGAAGTGTATGTTGTACTTTGTGACTAGTTTAGTAATAAATTGTACTCTGCCCATAATTTGTTCTGTGCCTTGGTTGATAGAATAGTAGCCTCTGTCTAGTTCTTAGAGATGGAACTAGAAATCCTACTTGTTCTAGTAGTGCCGGGCAGTCTATCAAATTGTTGAGGAGTTTATAGAGAAACACTATCAGGGAGTTTCTCCTGCGAGTTTCTAAAAGTTTCATTCCACAAAGTGCAAATCTAGTGTAATAATCCAATCGTCTATATGGAAAGTTTAATTTGAAAAGTAAATATTTTGCAAATTTACTTTGGACCCTTGACATGGATATTGTAGCTTGGGCTCCAAGCAATGCAACAATATGCTAGCAAGGACCTGACCAGGCAGTTGTACAGGCATTTTATCGCTTTCACGTCATCATAGTCTTTGGTGTTCCGCTTTATGAAGCTTAATAGTCGGAATGCTTTGGTGGTAACATGTTCGATCTTTTATTGTGTTGACGGTTTCTAGCTCTGTGTTATTTATTCTGTAAACCGTGGTAACAGGATTTTGGATTCGGTAAAATGACATGTTTACACTTCCCAGCATTAAGATGAAGGTTTTTTATTCCACACCATCCAATTAAATCTATTCCCGCCTTTTTGCTTTTTATCCAAGTGGTAGTTTTCTTGTTAATAAGTCAGCCTCAAAAGATCCATTGAAAACTTGAAGTTTGAGGCAATCAAACTTGTGTAGGTAGTTTTTGTAAACTTGGCTTATCACATTTTAATGCAACAGCCATCAACAAAATGTATAAATATTGCAACTTTTTCTTGATAAATGCTATAATTAGTTCATAGTTCAAAGACTTCAGTATTTTCGATAAACAGAAGACATCCGCCGTGGTAATACCCACCATCACGCCAAACAAGGATGTAATAAAGCCGGTGACGAAAACTGATGTATTAACTCGAAAGACTATAATGTATAACATTGCAATTCGTGGCCCGCGGTACCATTAGTACCACCTTCAACATTAAAACATTTCGATGCACACAGTGCTCTAGTAAATAGACTTTCACATTTTACTTTAATTTTCATTTCAATGTAACGGCGCGGTTGTGAATGAACTCGACTCGGTACTCTTGAAGTACAATAACAAAAGATTATCGCGAAGCAGTGTTAAAATGAAATAAAAGTGTTTCAATTATGAAAAGGGAATATGTGATAGCGGCTTCAACTTTGTCGTTTTTTATTTTGCTGATAATTGTTATATTTGCCTGCGATACGGTAAGTGATGGTTCCGTATGGTAGTTATCATGCAGTTAGTAGAAAGTAAGAAAGTGCATTGTCAAGAGTGTGGCCTTGGTCGTCAAGGTGATGAATGCAGCAAAAAGCAGCAGGATGGTTCTTGTGTGATATAAGATCTCATTTCAAGAGTTTTTTTTAGGTGTGTTATTCCATCAGTAGTTTTATTTTGTTAATTAATTAATTACAGGACTAATGAATAGGTACTGTTTTTCAGAAACATCAAAAGAATGTTTCATTTCATTTTCATCAAACTAATACAAGAGGATAGGAAAAAAAGCAGACGATAACTATCAAACCTGCAGCTTTAATTATATAATTTAGGTTTTTTGAAACAAACTCATTTGGCCTAAGCAACATCGGTAGAAGAAATTTTTTGTTATTTATCTTGAAAACTAAGAATTTTTACAGCAATTCTAATGTGTAGGTACCTACCTCTAATTTCCTAA